TAGCCAGCGGACATCTGTTCTGCCGTTAGAATTTCTGCACATCTTGCCAGATATCAAACATTTTCAATGACCCAGGCCATAAAGACACTGTATGATACCATTTACCTTCTGTTCCTCCAAAATTTTCCTTCAAATAGGAACACTGCAACACTTCGTTCCTCTACTTACAACCTTTTCGCTTGAAAAATGATTAGGACAATTATTAACCAAGAACTGCAGCTGACAATATGGCCTTATCTCACATGTCCTTGACATAGAGACTGAACAGCGAATTTCAATAGAAGACTTAGGGTAGTATAGAAAGAGAACCTAGCTGTAAGTCACTATGATTTGAGAAACAAACACTTGTGTTCGGTGCAAAAGAATACCATTGTATGCATCATTCAAGGCAGCATAATCTAAATATATTTCCTACTTGGGATATTTCTTCTCGGCATTTCCTTCAGTTTAGGCTTTCAAAAACAGAGCCAGAAAATTTTATTTATTTTCCTCATGCTTATGTAAAATATTAACTTGAACCTTCACATCTATTTTGCTATTGTTACCGACAACAGGATTCCCAGGGGTGTGCGGTGCAGGAAAGCTATTACCATATCCATCAATCAGTGAGACAGACAGACCATCAGACCCTGGTTCCAGGCCCCGTCTTAGTCTTCCACATACTACACCATGCTTCTCCGTCCTCCTGTGCAATTGAAATTCCAAGCAGGTTTCCAATTCCCCTTCACTCCAGCTGTCGTGTGTTCACTGATTTTAAATGAATCTTTATGATTGCTTAAGAAAAACTTGATTAGCAAGCTAAATAGTCTGTATATTGTTAACTGAATTTCAGAACACAACAGAAAAATTGTGGTGATTAGGCTTATTACTTTCTCTTTTTTCTATAGATAACAGAGTTTATTGAATTGTATGGTATTGTCTTTTAAAAATTCAATGATGAGCTTTTATGGAATTCAGTTGAAATAGTGTAACAGCAAAAAAAAATCAGCAGTCAAAAATCTAATTACATATTGTTGGTATTCAGTGTTGGTGAGTGGTCTCTATTTATCTTGTCAGAAATCTAGTAAAGTCATAAAAAATAACAGAAAAATTTGAGAAATAAAATACAAAGAAAACCTAAGATTTAAAAATGTATAGACACAGGGGCTGGAGAGATGGCTTAGTGGTTAAGATCATTGGCTGCACTACCAGAGGACCCAGGTTCAGTTCCCAGCACCCACATGGTGGCTAACAACTTCAGTTCCAGGGTATCCCTCTTTGACACCCTCTTTTGATTTTCACAGGCATTGCATGTAGGTGGTGCCCTTACATACGTGCAGGCAAAACACTCACACACGTAACATTTTAAATAAATTTAAAAACTCTACTGCAAAGATGTGAAAAATATTTCAGAGTATCCAAAGCAAATGTTCTTGAGGAAAACTGGTAGAGCTAGATCACAGCTGTGTAACCTTACTCAGAATGTGGTCACAAGGAGCTGAGCACCAATGTGGACATTATATAGTTACATCTGGAAGCTCATTTTCCAGGGGGACATAATTTTTCATAATACATGTGCACTACTTTCCTAGGACTTCTATGATGACTATCCACAGACACAACTGTTTAAACCATCTGAATGCATTCTCGTAGTTCTGAAAGCCAGATGTTCCCTTAGAGCAGGGCAAGGTTGAACCAGCTATAGGGTTCTACAGAGAATCTGTCCTTTACTTCTTCCAGCTTTGGGCAGATGCTGGAATTCCTTGATTGGTAGCTTCATCACACCAACCTCTGCTAAAGAGGTTACTCTACCTTTCCCCCTCTGTCTTCTCTTTCAAACCTGCCCTTGCAAAGATACACGTGATTGTATTAAGTGCCCACACTGATAATCTAGGGAAGGAGCCTCTTCTTAAGCTCTTTAATCATGTATATTTCCACATAAAGCAACAATTCAGTGGTACCAGAGGTTTTACATAGGATCTTTGGGGGTTCATTTTGTGACCAGGGACAATATGCTTACAGTAGTCCTTGGCAGGGGTTTCGGTCCCTAGCCATGTTGTCAGCTGAAATTTGAGTCCATACCATGGCTGGAGCTGGCTTGCACTTGTCTATTCCTAGTTCTTTCTACCTGATATTTATTCTCTCTCACGTTCTCTCCCATGTTCCTCTCTCTCTCTCTCTCTCTCTCTCTCTCTCTCTCCTCCCATCTCTCTTGATTGCATGTATCAAAGATTATTCTACTTTGCTCCACACTGATCTTTCTCTTTAAATATGGAATTGAGAGTCAGAAATCTGCAATTTTCCAGTCATATAGCAGTCACTTAAATTTTTTTAGTTTCAAAAATTATGTTTATATATGTATATGTGTCTGTAAGTATACAGTGCTTATGTGCTTATGTGTACAGGTGCCTGTGTAGGCCAGAAGAGAGTGCCTTCTTCCCTGGAGCTGGAGTTACAAGTAGTTGTGAGCCTCCTGATATGGGTGCTGGGAACTGAGCTCAGGTCCTCAGGAAAACAGGAAGCACTCTTAACCTCTGAGTCACCTCTCCAGCCTAACAGTCACTTTCTTTATTTTGTTCTCAGCATCCTCATCTGTAAAATGGGAAGCTGTAAATGTCAAGCTCATAGGCTAGTGTGTCTAAGAAATTAGATAATAAACATATATCTTAATCTGTCTTCATATAAATATGACATCTTTCATATCATACAGCTGTACTGACTGGTCTTTTGTCTTCGGTATTCAGTTTAGTGCTTGGCTATGTGGTTGTATATATATTTAAATGTGTAGGTGTTTTTCCTTCCTACCAGATTATTGGTATTTAATGACACAGACTTTGACTTTGTATGAACTCTACATATGTTGTGTCCAGGTTCTCTCTAACAACAGTGTTACAAAGACAGTAGCAGTAGCTCAGCAAGCTCTTATCTGGACAGGGATAAGAACCTGGCTCTGCTGTGTAAGGCTTGGGCACTTGTTGTTTGCTCTCTGGGTAAAGTTTGCAAATAGTAATATGCAAAAGAATTATTCGAGGAGCCTATAAATAGTGTCAAATGACCATTCCCTGGCCTGACCTTATGACTCTTTGTTAGTAAACATGGGCCAAGCCCAGGAATCTGCATTATAAGATGAAACCAAACAATATGGCTTATTATTTACTGTGCATATATTGCTTTATCTCTTACAAAGTGAAAACATAAAAACTAAAGAGAGAAAAGGCAAAATTTGTGATTTGATAGTCACAGGTCTTGAGTAAGAAGTCAAATTAGGTTGGTTTTTATAGTCTGCCCGCCTGTCTTGATGCGTTTTTGTAGAACTCTGCTATGTTTCCTCATCTTCTCTATGCAGATACTGAGGACACCAAGGTGTGAGCTCTGCCCTTATCACAGTGCACACAGCCCACCACTTGCCTGCAGTGGCTTTGTGTGTGACTCTTGTCTTCCCAGTTGGCAGCCTGCCTAGAACTTTTGATCAGGTTTCAAAATTCAGTTGCTCTCTGGCTTGAAGTTGCAGCTGTGGCCCAGCAATCTGGTTACGTGCACTTGGAATTGTTCACTGTGAGTAGAGTCTGAATCCACCCCCTGCATCTCCCTCTCAGGAGAAAGGGTGATGATTCTATTTTTAACATTTATTCCAGATGCCTCTGAGCAGGCACTATGAGGAAACACTAACTGAAAATTAGACAAGGAGCCTAGTTATTAGCTTTCTCTGTATCAGCTAAGCTCTGTTTATTGAACTAGAAGAGAAGAGGTTGCTTAGAGAAAGGATAGCAGGAAATGTACAAGAAAAGGTGTTCTTGGATATGGAACTTGATTCTGGAGTTGATTCATTTTGTTCTGAGTGTTTGCTATTGGAACAGTGTTGAACATGGTGCCAACAACGTGGGCTGGAGAGTGGGGAAGGCAGTGCCCGTGTGTGCCGGCCTCACTAGACGTGGAATGTAGCTGCCTCATTTATTCCTGCTCACCTGCAGGTTGCCAGCATTCACGTTATTATATTTAGTAGACTACATGGCTTTACTATTCTTAATAGCCATTCCTGCCATTCCTGAGTCGCTTTTGGAGATTTCGTACAACCACTTAGGCACAAAGCTGAGCTCTATTTAAAGACATGGATGACAGATGGAGATTTTAGACTCAAGGTATATTCTACTAGGATCTTAAAGGCTGAGGATTCAATTTGCTACAGAGAGGATTTATTCCAAGTCATATCTATCAGATTTAGAGTGTTATGTGGTTAAAGGTCAGCACTGTTCCCTCAAACTGAGCCTTTGCTAACCAAGGACTGGGGAAACTAAAAAGTCAGAACACAACCCCTTTCCATTGTCACCAGTTGAAGCAGTCAGTCAACTGCATCCCAGTGCTCTGGGAACATAGCTGGTAGCTAACAGACATCCTGTGAGGTGAGGAACAGCCAGGTTTTTATATTATAAGGGACTTTGGAACTGTTTTGGCTGCCTCATTTCACGTGGGGTCTAGAAAGGTTGAGCTTTCCATGGTCACACAGCTAGTCCTGGCAGGCTAAGGTCCCCTCTTTACCCACATTCTTTCCATCCCACTAAGTCCCTTTGTCAGGAGTTGGGCTGGCATTTGTGAATTGTGATTTGCATGACTCACAGGAATAGCAAATTCTATTTCTGGGGCCACGTGATCAATAGCAGATGAATAGGGACATACTCGTCCAAAACGCTGTGAAGAACCACTGGGAAATAGAATGGGAAGGACAACAGGAAGAGTGTAGTGGTGTGCAAGATCACGTGCAAACTTTAGCACCACCAAATGAGCAACTGAAGCGTATCAAATGGGTATGCCCAACAGGGAGAGATTGCCTGTGCAGGGAGAAATATAGAATCAAGGTATTTCTATAGTGTGTTCTAGGTAAAGGAAAGTTTTTCTCTTGAGAAAAGTCAAAGCCAGGAGGTAGATCTGGGTAAAGGAGTAAAGGGAGTAAAGGAGTGGGGGAGATTGCTTCACCAGAAGTCTTGAACCCAAAGGACTTCAGACAGAATGAAATCAGGACTTACATTGAGTCTGGAGTTGCTTGTCTGCTTGGAGCGCTTTTCTGCCAGGAGATCCTTGACCGTGTGTTTCACTCTCACACCCTGGTACACGCGTTTGCTGTAATCTCCTGGGACTTAAGCAAATGGAATAGTCATAATCAGGTGGGGAGAGTCATTAGGTCAACTTGCTAAGGCTGAAAATTGTGATTCTATTTTCTCAATAGAATGAGAGAAGTCTTGAATTTGAAGTGGACTCAAAGGAATTCTATTTCCTGATCCTTGATAAAAATTCACTCAAGTTCTGTGTAGGTGGAAGAAACACTATCTTCTACATGGCAGCTCTTCAAAGTATCCCTTGTTTTAACCTTTGCTCTGTCAAGATTCACTCCAGTAAGATTTATGATTTATGCTTTAGTCATAAGATAAGGGATTGGATACCACTTGAAATGACGGTTCTTACTGCACAGGTAAGAACAACTCAGGTTACTATAAGATAGTGCTCCTGCCCTAGCATATCTACTCTGGATGTGAGGAAGTAGGTCAACTGGATTGTCTGAAGGTTATGTTCCTAACAAGAAAGTCATCTGTGTTCTGTTTAGTACACTAACCAAATCTACTTTGTTTTTGAGAAAATCTAGTTATTGGACACGAGGAATTACTACTTAAAAACTAGTCAAGGGGAACTGGAGAGATGGCTCAGTTGATAAAGTGTTTGCCTTAAAACCATGAGGCCCTGAGTTCTGATCACTAGCACCGTGTAAAAAGCCAGGTATGGCTGATCGTGTCTGTAATCCCACTGCTGGGGTGTAAGAGACCTTCCCTTAGAAAATAAAGTAGAGGGGGCTGAAGAGATGGCTCAGCAGTTCAGAGTGCATACTGCTTGCAAATGACTCAACTTCGGTTCCTAGCACTCATGTCTGGTGGCTCACAGCCACCTGTAACTCTGACTCCAGGAGGATCTTTTGCCTCTGGCCTCCATGGGCACATTCACTCACATGCACATACCTACAAGTAGACATATAGTTAAAAATAAAATAAATCTTAAAAAAATAAGATGAAGAGTGATTGAGGAAGATACTTAATATTGATTTCTGGCCTCCATAAATGTACATGGGAATTCATACATATAAACACTCACATACAAACATGTATACACACTTATACCATGCACATAAAACAAAACTAGACCAAGGATAAAGGAAGAGTTGTCAATTCATTTAACATATTTTTTAGTACGTCCATGTGTACTTGTTGAAGATTTTATAGTGCTTGGCAATTTGCATGCATTGTTTAATTTGATCCATTTTACAGATGAACAAACTGAGTTCAAAGCTAAGATTTTGCCAAGATCTCACAGCTACTAATGAGCAATATAGCTGTGATTCGGACTCAGGTCAGTTTGTAGTACTAAAAACTAGAAAAGTTTGCTGTTTTCACCAAGAATAAATAACAGAGGTAGATGGATTCAGAGAGAAACAGCTCCCAAAGCTGCAAAAGTTGGCCAGCACTGCCTCTAGGAATCATGAATTCCACTAGTAAAAATGGTTGACTAATGACTGGGGAACCACTTGCTTGGATGACTCTGAGAGCATTCAATCACTGACTTAGTGGTTGAACTAGACTCATTTAAATATATTTTTAAGCTAAAAATTGTTATTTTAGTAAGCTGGATGCAGTAGGTTGTATGGCTCTGATCCATTTAATTGAAGCGTTGCTGGCTTACCAACAAATTAAGCTGTGACAGGATTCAGCATCTATGTGTGTGGTGGAACATACTCATGTACACTTGTCTGAGGTCCATGGCCAAAAATGTCCTCTACTCTGCTTGGATTTGTAGACAGTCTAGGAGTATTAGACATGGAAAACAATTTGTACTATGTAAAGAACAGAATGAAGAAGGAAGGAAGGAAGGAAGGAAGGAAGGAAAGAAGGAAGGAAAGAAGGAAGGAAGGAAAGAAGGAAGGAAGGAAGGAAGGAAAAAAAAAAGAAGGAAGGAAGGAAGGAAAGAAGGAAGGAAGGAAGGAAGGAAGGAAGGAAGGAAGGAAGGAAGGAAAGGAGACAGGTCATAGCCAGAGGCTGGGTGGTGGAATGGGTAGAGGATATTACTGGTTTAAGCATCAAGGGATGCATAACCATACATTGGTCACTAGTGTGGAAAAATCATAATCATTCAGCCCCATTTTCTTCATGTGAGAAATGGTTATAATTTCTGCTCAGCAGTCTTCAAAGGTTTATAAGGAAAAACTAACGTATGCATATGAAAATACTTTGAAACTACTGAGTTTCATAAAAACACCTGCTTGCAGCGTGGGAAAACAAAGCTGGGTGTGGTGGTCTGAATGAGAATGACTCCCATAGGCTCCAAGTATTTGGACATTTTGTTCCCAGTCGGTGGTGCTGTTTTGGGAGGTTTTATGAGGTTGGCCTTATTGAAGGAAACGTCACTGAGGGTGGGCTTTTAAGGTTCTTAAGCCTTGGCAGATTTCCAGTTGCTTTCTGCTTTCTGTGCCTGCTTGAAGGTGTGCGTGTGCCTCTTTCTGCTCCTGACACCATGCCTCCCTGTCATGATGGACTCTAATCCTTCTGGAACCTGGGACCTTAGCTCAAGTACACTCTTCTTCCTATAAGTTCCTTGGTCACAGTGTTTTATCACGTCAATAGAAAAGTAACTAATACAATATGTTTCAGAGTAATGAGTTACCTAATTCGAATGACAGACAACCTGATTTCAACAAAATAATTTCAGTGTTCCTCTGGTCTAATTTTGACAGGATTGTGTCTATATATTCTTTTAAAAAATTATTCCATTTGTATTTTATTTATTATTTTTATTTTTTGGCGCAGCATCTCCCTGTAGCTCCAGGTGGCCTGGAACTCACTATGTAGCCCAAGTTGGCCTCCATCTCACAGAGATCCACCAGCCTCTGCCTCTGCCTCCCAAATGCTGGGGTTAAAAGTGTACATCGCCATGCCTGACTGGTCTATATAATTTTAATTAAAGAAGCTTGAAGTACTTCTTTCAAATCACTCTCTAATATAAAGCATAATTACTTGAGCTTTGTTCCAGCAGAATCTATGTGTTGCTTCTAGAATTGTCTGTGTCTTATTTATTTGCTTCTGGGAAAAGTCTTAGGCTATATTTGTTCATCAGTTATTTACCGTTATTTTCTATGTGCCAATAGAATACACAAGAACATGCTGTGAAATGGTGAAAAATACCATAAAACAATGATAAAGCAAATGTGCTAAGTACAACAATAGAGAAATGTCTAGAATATTCAGAGAAACACAGGCTGTGTCACTTCCTAATGGGGGCAGGGTAGAGCCAGGAAAAGCAGGGTAAGATGGGAGGGAGGCTTAAAAGAGGAGGTGGGGGAAAGTGGTAGCAAGTTGGATGGGGACATTCCAGGTGGAGGCAAGAACAAGGTGTGAGGGAGGACGTGGCAGGAAGGGAGGCCGGGGAAATGAGTAGCGTTCAACCATGCTGTTTTTTGTTACACAGAAAGAGCTTGAACTTCATCCTGTCAGCAATGAGCCACTGAAGGCTCCTGAGCAAGGGCAATGTGCTTAGATTTGCATTTCACACAAACTCTTCAGGCAGCAGTGTGGAAGGTGGATTTGAGAATCACAGAACCACAGGGAGATCAGTTTGGAGAATTCCAGAATATTCAGGCAAGAGCTCATCAGGCAGGTAGAAGAGCCAGGAGTAGACAGGACAATTATTTAGATGTAAGAGGTTAAGGAGTAGGAAGGCTCAAGGGAAATTCACACGTTTCCACTACTGCTCTAGGACATAAGTCTTAGTGCCATGGAGATATTGATAGCAACCAAAAAAAGAGGAAGTAATCCTTTGAGGGAGTGTTTGACAGGGTCACATGATGACATACGTAAGTAACCATAACTTGTGCCTGGCACACTGGAATAAACAGGCCAGGCTATCCAAAGAGCTGAGACAATCGTATCTGTGAAATTCCCATAGCACTGATATTTGTATATATATGTGTGTGTGTAGTTTTTATTGGCATGTATTCGTTGTTCACAGTGATAAGTTTCATAAAGACTTCCATATAAAATAGTGCGCACTTCGACCATATTCACTTCTACCTTTCCCTTTCTTCTCCCGTCCCCTCTCACTCTTTTCTGTCCTCCTCTCTTGCTTTTACTTTCATGGCACACACACACACACACACACACACACACACATATGAATTTACACAGCTACATAAAATCTAGGATCCGAAAATGAGAGAAATATGCAATATTTGTCTTTATGCGTCTGACTTATTTCACTTAATAGCATAACCTCCATCGGAATGCATTTTGATGTAAATGACATAATTTCATTTTTTATAGCTGGATACAAATCTATTGAGTAACACCGATTTCTGACACAGGTCACGAGGTTCTGGACAAGATGACTAAAGACGGAAGCCTGGGTTGTAGTCTCATTGGAAGGGGTTTTAGAGGAAGAAGATAGGAAAGATCAGCAGAGGAAGGACCAGTAAGAAACAAGGGGGCAAGGCATCTAGAATTCGGGAGAAATTTCAAGAAAGACAAAGTATCCAGATGTAGTTGAATGGGCCAGGAAGATAAGGACAGAAAAGCATCCATTGCTTTCAGTTTAGTGGTTGGTATTTCTAAGGTTGGACCTTAGCAAGAGAGATTCTGGATTGTGGTATGCCTAGAAGTCAGGATCATGCCAAGATAAGGATGGAGGCAGGGAAGGAGCCTACTTGTTTTTGAAGTTCAAATGAGAAAGAGTTCAGTGTCAAGATGAGGTTTGCTTATACTTCTCTAGCTATATATGTGCTTGTGAGTTGCAAGGAATTGCCGGTATTTGAATAAGAAAGAAGGGAAGAATTAAGTTCGTTGGAATGCTGGAAGGAAGTCTTGAAGAAGAAAGAAATTGGGATCAAAGACATTAGTCTTCAACCTCTGAGGAGGTATGTGCGGGGTGATTAAGACAGCTCAGACATGGATAGAGTAACCTGGAGAGGGAGGATAATGATCTTAAAAGTTGAGATAAAGTATGGATCAAAAACTGAGAACACACCCCTCTGAGTCTCACCATGATCCCTGGAGCTTCATTGTAGCACTGGCTGATGAACTTGTTAGGAGTCAAGATTCTCAGATCCTATTCTGGAGTACAATATCAGAGCCCTTAGGGTTCAGCCTGGCTTTCTAAGCAATCCTGATTTCCTATGAAGCATACAAACCTTGAATATATATACCAAGAAGGTCTCTAAAATGCTCCTGTGTGTGGTGGGATGTGTACATGTAGGGGAGGGGGACTCTAACCTTGGCAGTTCTACTGAGCAACAAGAGGACAGGCTGAGTGACTGGTGGAAGACTCAGACAGGCCTGGAAGACAAGAGGAAGGATCGCAAGTGAAGTGGTCTAAATTGGATCCTCTGTGTTTGCAGTCTTGACTTTGCTTTTCTCTGAAGGGCTTTTTAATTGATGATTTCAATCAACATTAGCAATTAATGTTTTATGTACATGCCAAAAAGCCCAGGATAAATACACCTATTCTAAATAGTTTAACAAATAACCACATGGTAATTAACAGAGGAATAAAGATCTTGAGATGGAAAACAACTAGATCAAAACTTTTGAAGTTTTGTCATAAAACACTCAATTTTAATGTACCTATTGGCACTGACAGTGTAAAATACTGGATTATATGCCACAGGGGTTGTGAAATAAGTTAAAACATATGGCAAGTGTCCTTAAAGAAATCCTATTTTAAGGAAAGGGATGAAATAATTACATGTAAGAGAGCAGGGGAAGTAGCCTGGAGAGATGGCTCAGCAGTTAAGAACACTGACTGCTCTTGCAGAGTTCTTTCCCAGACCCACACGGCGGCTAACAGCCTTTGGTAACTCCAGTTCCAAGGGTTCCAATGCCCTCTTCTGACCTCCACATTGCACAACATGGGTGCACTTACATACACGCAGGCAATACATACATATATGTAAAATAAAAACTAACAGTATACTTTGGATGGTTGGGCAAAGTTTTGTGGGACAGCATGAGGCTTAGGATGGACTTGGAAGGAGGTTGGGACTGTCCGGTGATCCTCCTGTCTCTGTCCCCTAACCCTGCTGGGTTGCATGGGCAACCATTTCTGGCTTTTTATGTGGGTGCCAGGGATTCAAACTCAGATCTTCATGCTTGTGTAGCAAGTTCACTTACCCAGTGAGCCATCTCCCTAGCACCCAGTTACTACATTAAAATGTATCTATACAGAGATTTTAAACAGAGATCCCCAGGTCTGACCTGACTTTAGACTTGGACAGCCACTTCTACTTGTGTGTCCAGCAGACATCTCAAACTCCACGTGTCCAAGTAGAAACTGGCCCATCTTTCCTTCCAGTTTATCCCAAACCTTCCCTGCCTTAGTTGATGGCAACACCATCCTTCTTTTTCCTTACTCCCAAAGCGGTGTAGTCATTCCTGACTCTCTTCTTTCTCTTGTCCTTCACAAAGCATGTTTTAGAACCACGTGATGATTCCACCTACAAAATAAATCTAGAATATCCTGACTCTTCTTTACCTCCATAGGAAATATCCAGGTTCAACCTACTGTCATCTCGTGTACATTGTTCTAGAATCCTTCTAGTGGTTTTCCTGCTTCTACCTTCACCCTTCCCTATTCTGTCCTTACAACAGTCAGGGGGTAGTACTTTAAAAAGTCTGACTGCAATGCTATGAAGCTTAGAGCAGAACTTCCCCGTTTATTCATAGCAAAAGCCGAAGTCCTGACAGTAGCCCAACACGACCCTAGTCCCTGTTTCCTCT